TACGGTATACCTAATGTTTCGGTACGGTAATGGTACGAAACTTCTCATTACCAAAAGTTAGGTTGGTACACGGTAATGGTCAAAAACTTCGGTATGCCTACCAATGCCACGCCACATCATAGAATACAATCAATGTAAATACGAATAAAGAATTACATGCGAATATTATATACTAAAACACTTATAAATATACAAAAAAACTATGGGAATCGAATAAATTAAATTCAATTTTGTAAAAACAATATTACAAAAACAATTACAAATGAGAAAGAGAGAGAGAGAGAGAGAGAGAGAGAGAGAGAGAGAGAGAGAGAGAGAGAGAGAGAGAGAGAGAGAGAGAGAGAGAGAGAGAGAGAGAGAGAGAGAGAGAGAGAGAGAGAGAGAGAGAGAGAGAGAGAGAGATTGTGTAGGTGGTGAATGAAATATAATGAGTTGAATTTTGTTGTATTTATGCTTATCTTTTATACAAATAAAAGTAACCTGAGGTATTTTCCGTCTTACATTTCCCCGCTTACATACATATATCCTACAATTTTAACACAAGAGAAGAGAAATATTTTTTGAAAACATTAGTAAAGAAATATCTTATGCGAGCGTGCGCCATACGAGCGCGCATGGTACAGAAGGTGATCAGCAGTCAGGCAGGCCTGTTTGTCCCAATTTTTGGATTTTTTAATCTTTTTTTCCCTTGTTTCTCATTTCTTTCATTTCTTTATTCTTTTATTTTCACGCAGACAGATCCACACACATCGAAACACATGTAAGTACTATTTCTTCTCTCTTTTCTTGTACATGATGTGGTCCAAAAAGTAAGTTGGTTGAAGGCTATATAAGATTCATGCATATTTTGAATTCCAATTGAACTAGTTGTGTGCTTGTGTAGTGAGAACACTGCTCTCTTCTATGTTTGGGGAGGAGTATGTTCCACTTCTGTTATTTATGCTATTAGTTGATTGATGGTTTTGCATACTAATTATTATTTTTGCATTTAGATATTGCATTTTTTTTTAGGACATGCATTGCATCCTAGTTGAGTCTTTGTGGGCCAAAGTTTAATGATAGGATTAGTTTTTTTTGTTGATCACCGTAGATTTGATATAACTTAGAAGCGAAATGTAGTAGATAGTTGCGAATTTTGTGATTTTTCTACAAAGAATATTGTAGTTGTGTTTAGAGAATCTTTATGCTGTATCACACAATTTTTAATTTTAAGTGAAGTAGAGAATGACTTAGCAATTGGGTTGAAGAATGAGTTAGGTATTGAATGTGCCCCTAACCTATCTGTACAATAAAATAATATATTTAGACAAAACTAGTACTTTACCCGTGCGATGCACGGGATAATTTAAAAAATAAAAAAACATTTACATAAAATAAGGTACTAAAACTTTCAATGTTTGAATATATATATATATATGTTCTAGGGGAGTGGCACCGCGCTATGCGCGGTACGTAATGCCCAATCCACGTAAAATATTCTAGGGGGTTTTGAGCATAAGTACTCAACCAATCTTCTTTATTATTCAAGGTTTAGGGGCTATGTCTCTTTCACCAATAAGCTCATCCCTTTAATATTTATTACAAATAAAGGAAACATTCATGTATATGACAATATTACCCCCAACCCTTAATACCCAATTCTTAATTGTAACCCCAATTTAATCAATTTTGTCAACAAAAATCCAATTTTGATCACAAAATTCAATTTTGACTTTTTTTTTAAAAACCTTTTTTTCGTAAAAAATATTAGTATATCGTCAAAAATAAATTTTAAAGATAATAAGAATTGCACCGAGCACCATAGGGAAATGACTGAAAATAACATCGCACCGGGGAAAATATATACATAAGAAACACCTGCAAAAGAATAAGTTCTTTAAAAATAAAATAAAAAACATGTTACATGAATAAATGATAAATATGAAAATATTTTCTACCTTCAAATTCGATGAAATACTTCCTTGTACACGACATTTCTAGTAACATTGGTGAGTTCACCCGAATCCCATATAATAAGCTTTGCCCTTATGAGCAACTCTGCCTGTGGATTTTGTTGCGATATGCTGCAGGTGGAACTCTCATGTACATTTATGGGTAGTCCGAATCGAGAATGAGCTGTTCTTCCACCGGGGAGCAATAACGATGCTATACCACTCGATGCAACGTTAATTACAATCTCTCCATTCGAACGAACTGCAGCCGAAAGAGTTTTCCATAGAAACGTCTTTCTCGTTCCACCATGGCCATATAGAAAGAACATTCCACCACTGTCATTGGTTACTGCATCCATGACTACATCATAAACCTTTCTTTGCTCATCTGAAATGGAAGCAAGACATTGTTGAAGTTCTCTACCCATTTCAAGCCGGTCGTAATCCAGTTCATCTAACACCAATATGTTGATTGTGTCCTCATATGAGTATTCGATTGGAACTGGCATAGGCGCGTAATTTTGCAGGCTTTTACCATTGCTTTGCAATATTTTTTCTATTTCGGTGAGAGTATAGTTCTTCAAGCTTTCATCCGATATATGTAAATCTTCAACAATAAAATGGATAAATTATGTGCATCTTGTTGAAATCGTACAGAGACAATATTAAAAGAATGATTAATACGTAAAATCTAATTGAATACAATGCCATACAAATTGTCATACCTGGATTTTTATGAAGACGTTGTTGTTTGTAAGCAATACCCTCCGCCAAATCCAACCAACAACTTTGTCAAACATGTTCGGGCCAACTTAAGCTAATGGAAAGCAACATAACCGCAAATAACCTTCTTATATAATCCCCCGATGCCCAAGTATTCACTTCTATTATTGCATCTATGTATTCTTTGTCCTCATCTAACAAACCTAACACATAGCATGCATCCCTGAACGTAGGGTAGACGATGTCAAAAACTTTTCCGATGTCCTCGACGTATTACAGAATCGACGCATTCATTAATTATGTTAAAATTTAGTTTAAATTCTTATGGAGTTTCGCCATTGCCCACAAGTTCAAAAACTTTTCCGATGTCTAAATAACATGTATTTGAACTTTATGAATTAGAAAAATATATGAAAATTCCTATATAATTAATTTTAGGACATGTGGGTTTTTTGTTAATAATATTAATACTATACATGGATTGTTTTGTAATAAATTAATAGTATACAGTGATTTTTTTGTAATAATATTTTTTTACAAATGCACATTTTAATTGAATATTGATAAAAAAAGAACTATATAAAAGTGACGATTATTAAAAAAAAAACAGCGGTACGGAATATTTTTTAATAAGTAATTAATTTATTGATAATACGATTTAAAGATAAAACATAATAATCTAATCGACATTCACAACAATAATTACATTTCTTGTACTGTCAAACGCAAACGAATATGTATTGCCAATAACCATATTGTTGGAAGAACAAAACGATTTCCAGCCAATAGTGAGGTAGACATTAGGTTTTTTACGACTTCTTGTTGTACGTACTCTAATATTCCTCGTTGTACCACCGTGAAACTCAACATCGATGTAGTTTTTGCCAATCAACCCATGATTCTTAGCAAAAGATTTGCGTATATACTATAAAGTACGCAAATGAAAAAAATTAGATTAAATATAATGATAAGTTTATGATAACATTCAATGAAAATTTCACATTATGAAATGATATTACCTTCTAAGGAGATCTTTGAACGTAAACTTTCTCTCAAAGTAGATGAGTGAGGCATTAATGTTAGTTACATCGTCATCAAAATGAAATTCATTTTCCTTTGAAAAGGGTTGTTACATCGTCATGTTGAAAGACCAATCGCATTGACCACACCTCCATACAGACCCGAAGTGCCGACGTTCATTCGACGGTATACACATATAATGTGTAAACACACATTCACGCAACCCACAATTGAAAAAAAGTTTTGTAATCTTCTGTTTCAACTACACCACATATAAAACATGGCCCCGTGCGCATTTCGACTTTGATAGATTCTCTGCATGAAATACACATACATGGATCCAAATTGCGATCAAAATGGTTGTTGCAAAGTACGCATAATGTTAGTTGAACTTCCATTTTCACCTCGAACGAATTTGGATTCGGGATTAAAAGATTAAAAAAATGGGGGAGGGAAGGGGGAAATAAAATCCATACAATATTGTGCGTATATAAATGTGGGGTGAAAGAACGATTAAAAAATATAAAATCAATAATTCTTGAGTGAAAATATTTACGTACAATAATTTGAAGAATGTGGCTTGATTATTGAAAATAACATTGGGTTAGGTAGATTATATAGTTTGGAATGTACGCATAATTTGGAAAGTAGATTAAAAATAAAAAATTCAAATTTTAAAATGAGCTTTAATCTAGGAATAAATGATATATGGTGATATTTAAAAATATAATTGATTTAAGTTAACATTGCATAAATTAATACTCTTTCTATCATCAAAGTATTTCAAAATATATGATTATTTAAAATAAAGTTAGAAAATACACACACTATATTCATATCAATATTTAATTATTACAGTCCACGGATTTCATAATTAATGTCAAAGTTAATAGAAAAAAGACTAAAAATCTTATATAGATGATTAATATATTTGCCTTAAATAATGTATATTTTATTGAAAATATCGGATCCTATTACCATAAACACAACGCGAGATTAAAAAACATAAATATTAATAGGTTTTAGTAGAATGTAAAATATTTAATTTCCATATTGAAAGAGGCATTTACGTGTGAATAAGTTGGTTACTAAACATGTTATAATAATTTATTATTGTTAATTTAATACATGTAATTATAAAAAGTATTTTAACCGGTATTAATTTATCAATTTTATTTGAAAATATATTAACACATGGGTGATTAATCTGATTCATACGTAAATGTTTCATAAAATATATTACGTAGATCGTAGAATATAATATAGATTATTATATTTATAAATACAAATATTTACGTAAAAATAACAATGTTATCTATATGGGTACTCTCTTTCGTATGTCAATGTATAATCTTTGTAACGCAATTAATGTTCAAATACATAAACAATTTTATTAATATGCATAATTCATTTTGGCATAAATGAATAAATACGTTTGCCGCATTAAAAAACATAAGTAACTTTATTGAAATAAGCTTCATGCAAAAGTATTAGGACATTGTCTCAAAATAGAAATACATATTGTGTCTCTAAATACGAAATACCAAAGAAAATCGAAATGAATAACAAAAAATGACGAATAAATTTAAATAATACATTACTCCATTTTCTCTTGTTTGATCTTTTTCAATAATTTGGTGGATGATTGCTGGACGGTAGGATCATTGAGAATACTATCCAAAATAAAATCGTTGGATCGCTTCATTGGAGTAATAGCGTTGACATCATCATCCACAATAGCATTAGTTGTGATATCACCATCCACAACGCCATCGTTAAAATTAGAACACGTTCCAGAGTCCTATAAATTAGCAAAGAATTACGTAAAATATTTGTGTATTTGTGAAACATCTCTTACGTGCAACATATGAACAATTAATCAAAAATAAATTGTCAACCTTTGATGAGAAGACACACCCATCGTTGTCATAATTGACACTCAGCGACGATGAACCATTATCATGTTTCTGCAATATTATAAGATACATACACATTCAAAACCACGTATTAAAATAAAAAAAAAGGAATTATATTAAAGTTAATTATCAATACCGCATCCATTTCGTGATGCTTCAAAAATGAAGCAATGATAGCATCATATGTGCAAACTTTTTGAACATTGTACGTTTTATGATCTTCATTGACAACATTATCACCCTTGATAGCAATTTGAATAACATTCTTCGATCAATTAACCCCTCAAGTTCCATAGGATACTCCACAGGCTCTTCTCCCTTCATAGCATTAAAAATAAATAAATGATAAAAATACAAAATTAATTGATTACTCTAAAAAAATATATATTTTAGATAAAAAAAAAGGATGAGTGGTTGATCAATGTACCCTGTTTTGGACTGTTTGAATTAATACTTCTACAGGAATATCTAGCATCCTTTCAGCTTCTTTCCCAAATACAATCATCGAAGCTGAATTTGTATCGTCCATGACAATGACTTCAACTTTATAACTAAAGAGAACAACAAAATGTGAATGAAAAGTATTTGTAGAATAGTAATATAATTAACCCAAAGAAAAAAAAATAGTACATACGTTGGCTTAGCAGTAGGCCAATGAGCTATGCAAACGTGACAATACCACATTTTTGAATCCTGTCTAGCAGATCCATTACACTTAATGCAACCATTGTACCACCACTTTGATGTTTTCACAAGACCCTTAATAGTGGCCAATACAACATATTTGCCAGGCTAAAATGTGAAAATAAACATCAGTTAAGTATAGTTATAATCAATTTTGATAAATGATTCCTATTAGTATTTTACTGAAAATGTACGAATAAATAATGTAGCAAATACATCGTTATTACCTCATTTGTGTCACTCAGTTCGTCCAAATTTTTTCTGACAGTCTTACGTATGAAATCATCTTCCATCGAGTAAGACGACTGCGACGATTTTTTACTTATCACTTGACCACTATTATGAGACTAAAATGAAAAGTTACATGCAAATAAATCGTAACGAAAAAATAAATTTTAAAAAAACATAATTAATGCATTTAAATATACAATTGTAACCTCGATTTGAACTCATTAATTGCAGGTATATCCTCATTTATAAGCACGCGTGATGAATGCCAATGGTTAGATACCTGAACTTCACCTACGAAAACATAACAATAATAGTGAAATGTAATAAATGACCCTAACATTAATTATACATGATGCATAAAAGAAATTATTGAACAAACTAATACCATTCTTTATCTCAGTCGTTGCAAATTGTATTACAACAATATACGGCCCTACACCAATATCTTTAATTCGTTGAAGTATGTATTCAGCAAACTTTCCCCATAACAAACAGTTGACCTTCGAACCACTTGCATAACAAATAAAATGATAATTGATATGTAAAACACATGAAAATATAAATGATTTACAATCCAAAAAAATATATTTTAGTGATTTTTGAAAATACTCAATATCTTCAAGTTCAAATGGAATGTTTTGTTTTGTTCCACCCGATAGGTGATTCAATGAACCTATCGACAAAAGCGAACCAATAACATCTGCAATTAATATTAAACAATTGTAAGAATACATCCAGTAAATAAATGCTAAATATTAAGAAAAACATCAATGGAAAATTTTAATACCTATCGTATACTCATTGTTGTTTGACGCTTGTTGTATATCTGCGTAAGGTGTGAACTTAAATGAATACATTGGAATGGACGGAACGTCAACTTCTCTCACAGTAGATGTATATTCAAAAGTGACTCTATAGTCATTCAAGGCATGCTTGTAGGTCTTCACACTAAAAAAAGCAGATAGGTTTGACATTACATAACATCTGTTCACTTTGATCTTAGACTCAAATCTGTATAACAGTGTATACTTAATGGAAGCTTGCACCGTATCACCTTGCGTAATTAAAAAACAAATGTGAAAACTATATTTTCCTAACAATCATATTTGACGTATTAAAATAAAATAATCACCTGTTCATCAATGAATATCATCTCCATGTCTTGAAGATCTTTCTTAAAATAATTTGGCTGTTTCCAAATGTGCAAAACACGGATTTTGAGATTCCATGACTTTTTTTCACCTCCCAAGTTTCTAATGAGATCTACTTGCCTTGACATCTATATGTGTTTAATACACGTAATCAAAAATTTGTTAGTGAATTAAATCAAACAATAAACGATGAATATACGATAACAACTCTTGAATTATATATATTCCAAAATATGCATAAAGTATAATATATAATCTATATGATAAAGTTACATTAATTCATATGTTCGGGTATCGTGAAAGAAAAAATTAAAAAAAAAAAAGGTAAAAGATTATTCTAAAATAATATTATACGCACGATTCACAAAAAGAGAACGATGGTCGGCTGATGAAGTATCGAGAGAACAATATTATCCTGCAGTTTAGAATAACAATGAAATGAACCGTGTATATATAATATGATGATATTTAATAATTCATAAATCATAGTAAATGAAATACAATCATGGAAGTAAAATTATAATTCCTAAATTTTAGTTCCGTAATTATAGTAAATAAAATACAATTATATTTAATAGTACCGAAATTAGAGTAAATTATAGTTAATAAATATTCATATTCCATGTAATTAACTAAAATTTAGCAATTTCCTATAAATAAAATGCATAAATTACGATTAGGCATATATTTATATGCCTAATATATATTAAATTTAGATCACCTACATAAATATAAAAGATTACATCTTCATAAAAAAAGCATGTTTCTATTGTTACAGATATATATATATATATATATATATATATATATATATATATATATATATATATATATATATATTATGGAAAAGTATCTACATCAATATATCCACAAATTCCGTATACACCATATATATATATATATATATATATATATATATATATATATATATATATATATATATATATATATATATATATATATATATATATATATATATATATATATATATATATATATATATCTATATACATAATTTTCTGAATAACATGGGATATGATTCTCAGTCCAAGGATATGGATATAGAAAAACAGTATCCTGAGTCAATATATATATATATATGTATATATATATATAT